ATATCCTGATAAAAATTTAATCAATTAAAAAAAAATATAACATTTTATAAAATAAAAATTATAAAAAGTCAACATTAGGGATGCTAATGGTCACGGTCATAACCGTGACCGATATCGGTCGATCAAAAGCTTCTGACCGACCGGTTGACCGACCGATTCTGACTGAGTTTAACTGGCTCTGACTTGAGACTGAACAACCATGTTTAAATAGTAAAGTATACTTTGTATTAAATTTATAAAATCAACATTTTATTTTAATTATCTATAAATTAAAATTTTTGAAATTTTGAAAAAAAAAATTAAGTCCGCGATAATGTTGCGCCACTAAATAAAAATGACAAAGTAGTTTTAAAAATGCCATGCTATATTGTTAAAGCAAGAATCAAAATTATAATATTTGACTAAATTAAACTTTCTATTAATCCAAAACTGCGCAATTATATTATTATTAACCGGTCAGTCAACCGGTCAGTTAAAATCGGTCAGTTAACCAGTCGGTCGGTCAAAGGCCTTTGACCGACCGTTAACCGACTGTCGACCGACCACGACCGACCGTTACCATCCCTAGTCAACATCCTAATAAACATTATTTGTAAATTGTTTCGACATATATACACCCTAAACCTTCCTTTATCCCTTCGCGATATTTTTCGCTTTCACTGTTTTAACATTATAATTCTTAATTTGTAATATCGTTTATTTTTAATTTCCGATTTTTCTTATAATTTTATTACACTTACGTAATTGTGCAGTATTAATTAATTAGAGTTTTATTGGTTGGCATTTAATATATTGACATTGCTAAAGTGACGACGTTAAGGCAACACAGTTTAATTTGTTATTATTAAATAAATTTGGCGTCAACTTTACTTTACTTTTACTCAATAAAAACTTTCCGCTTACATTTAAAATTGGTCATAAATACATAAACGAAAGAACATTATTTGTGTTCTAATGCCTTAATTTGTTTCAAATTTGATATCATTCACAATACACAATAAAATAAATAATTTAATATGTATCATTAGACAAACTAGATAATTTTTTTTATTCTCGTAAAATAATGATAACGGACATACAAAAAAATTTACAATAGTAAACCGGTGTTAACCCGTATTTGAACCGAAAGCAGAACAATTTTAAATCTAACTCAGTCCTGTCCTAAGAAAATCTTTATTGAACATACGATTTGGTACAGTGATGGCAAGTGACTCAAATGACCTCAAATGACTCAAATGACTGGTCATGTGTCATTTGAGTCATTTCAACATTAAATGACAAATGACCAGCTCATTTAAAAATTATATCATGTGATCTCAATAATTCTGGCCAACATAATTATGTTTCGAACATTTCATAAATATTTCACGTGATTTAAATTTGTAATTCTGGCCAGCATATAAAATTTGGCCTGTATTACATTTAATTGACCAAATGACAAATGACCTCAAATGACCAGGTCATTCGAAGGTCATTCAGAGGTCATTTCAAAATCGCCAAATGATCTGGTCATTTGCCATCACTGATTTGGTATAATTTAAATATTCTTATAATTTATTAAAATTGCTTATCGCAGCCTTTTTATTGATATTGGGCAATAGCGTCGAATTGATTATAAGCGGGTTTTTTAATGTCAGAATACGACGTTTATTTAAAATTAAAACTACCTTTTACGTCTTTTTTATTAATTTTAAGGCAGATTTTTTTCAGTAGTCAGCGTAAAATCAGATTTTTTTTTATATATTAAACCACAGTCTATTAGCATTAAAATATAAGCTAATGTCTTAACTCAGACAACTTTCTGGATAATAACTTGTTAAGCTAATTTTTATGATTTCTCAGAGGAAAATTTCATCTGGTGGCAACGATTCTTTAATTAGGAATATGATATCCAAGATATTAATTTAGTATTGGGTGTGCTGATAATTTTTTTCGAAATGTATTTAATAAATAAATCGCGATAAAGAACTTTATTTCTGATAAAAAATTTAGAATCGGCACTAATATGATAATACATCCAAATTGAGATATTTCACAGTTAAACTGCTTAATGAGTTCTGAAGTTGACAAAAAGGGTGTCTGAAATTGGAAATTGGAATCTCAATTTCAGACACTCCGAAGCCCAATTTTCTATGTTGTATGTCGCAATTGTTATAATGCTATGCCGATCATATATAATTTATTAACACTATATACAGTTCATATAGTGTAAGCTATGGCCATTCCCAGAAAGGAAGGAATAGGTCATGCAAAAACTATGAGGGCCGTTTTTATTTATATTGATATCAATATCAATATCAATATCAATTTCAATATCAATAATAATATCAATATCAATATCAATTTCAATATCAATATCAATATTGATAGGAACAACGGTTGTTTATATATGATTTTTTTTTTAAAAAAAAATTGGGACTGAATGATTATGATTACTAATTTAAAATAAATGAAAGAATTTGTCCGAAAACATATACTGTGGTAACAAATCCTGTTTCATCAGCCAAAGGATGATCTGATCTCGATCCAACCTAAAACTGCCTAAATCAAATAAATAAGATGAAATAAATAAAATTAGTAATCAAATTAATTACCAAAATAAGAAAAGAAAAAAAAAAATATCAAAAAAAAATTAGTCAGCTTACCTTCGCCGCGGTGATGAGCTGGTCAATTCCGTTTCGAAGGATTCCCATTCCCATCATACAGTTATTTCCAGATACCAATATAAAAAATAATCATATAAAAATTTGATTAAGATTATAACACCCAAAAATTTATTTGCGTGTTTATAATTTTGCATACATTTTGAGTGAAACAGATAATTTAGACAATGAAACTTTAAATGGGTAGGTATTTTGATTTGCTCATAGTGAGTCGAAAGCTAATTATGTATAACTCTTCTGTACCTTCTAAATAAATGATTACTCTAATATTCTACTATAAATTTGTAGACCTATTTTATCAACGACGGAATTGAAACTTTATGGTGTCAAAAAGCAAAAAATTTTTTTTTTATAATTGCAGGAAACTCTACAAAATTCAGATAAAAAATAAATATTATGTATAATACTATTGGCAAACTTGATGTTTAGAAAGGATAATAAATTTTAAAAAATAACCTTTAACCGATTGCAATACTTTTACTTTGTAAAAAAGCAATATTTTCTGAATTTCATGTTCATTATTATGATCGAACTAAATCGCTTATACATGAGATATTTTTAAAATAATCTTTTATTATTATTTTAAAATATTAAAGAAAAAAATATTGAATTATTATAATAACCATAAATTGCAAACTTAAAGATTTATAATTATAAGTTATGAATCAAGATTTGGAGCTTATCTTGATTCGAGCGAAATAATTTTTCGTGATGTGCAACTGGTAAAAATACATTATTATTACTCAAACTATATTTATAAGTTATCGAGTGATTTTATGAAGTTGACTTAAAATTATGAAGAGAAGTTCATTATAATCTCTTTCTCATCATTTATACCAAATTTTTTTAAAAAAATGGAATAACCACTCTTTGAGAACCACGAAAAAAGGTAAATTTTACTTTTTTGTGATAAGCTTAATATGTAATTTAACAATTTTTATTTTAGGCGAATTATACATTTGAAAAAACCTACTAACGAACTTATTAATATATTCATAGAAGACAACTTGTTTTATTTAATAAAAAAGAACAATTAATATGCTAAAAAACTTCATTTCAAGATAAAGCAACTTTTTAATGGTAATACATCTTCGATATTTTATTTATTTATTACCCTTAATTTTTTTCTTTTTTTGAAAATATAGATGAACGTACAACCATTAATACTGCAACAATACAAAAGATTCATTTTGTCAACCACTAATGATATACAAAATTAACCACAAGAATTAAAAAACTAATTTCAAAAATTACAGCTGATAAAAATTTAATTAATTCTGTATTCCTCATAGTTGAATTGATATTACGAAAAGAGAAAAAGTATAACTTATCTAAAAACTCGTTAGAAAAAGTTTTTTTGAAATAACCCCTTAGAAAAACAATGTAAAATTATAAACTAATAAAATAATATAACGATAAATATTAAAACAAGTATTATTAATAGTTTATTTATAAGTGTAGCTAATGTGGAAGAATGTTTTTTTCATAGTAACTACCTTTTTTTTTAGCTTCTTTCTTCCAAAAAAAATCGTTTTTTAAAACTGATGTTTTTTCTGGCTCATGATCATTTCAGAGCTTATCATTTCTAAATAATCTCTAACAGTTATAAACGAACATGATAATGATAAGAAACTATACAAAACGTTTTCTTTCTCATACTACCGATCTATAACAAATATAGAAAAAGAAAATCTCAGCCAAATATCTGATTATCTGATTATTCAATCATTTTTCAGATAAGGTTTTACGAAACTCGAGCCATTATTTACATGCTTAATAATAATTTAATCTTTGATAAAACATCAACTAAATAAAGAATTTTTAAAAGAAAATGATTCATGCAATTTTTACAGCCTGCATAATCTAACTTTAGATTTTGCTTTGTTTTTTCCATAATGAGCGACAATATAGTACGACCACTTTTATAAATCGTAATTTTATATTTAATTTTCGATTTAATTATTTTTAAGCTAACATTTTTTATTTTTATGCATTAATATCTTTATATTTTAAACTTAAGGTTGATATATCTAAATTATATGCAAAGAATTTTTTATGGTTCGAACATGTTACAATTAAATTTCTTTTTTTTCTTTTCTTTTTTTTTTTTTTTATAAATTTACGCCAAAAAAACTTATTATTTTTCTATTTTCACAATAAAATGAAATAATTTTTATTTTTTTCATTGATATATAATTATTAATTTATCATAATTATTTTTTTTTTAGTTCGTGTTTGTTTTTGATCATTATAAGTTCATTGTTAATCGAAATTTATTTTTATTAAAAAATTTGGCAACACTCACACCCATTGCATTAATATTTTTTATACAATAAAATGGCAGAAATGGCAGAGACTATATTAGCACTGTACAAGATTATACCTGAATACGTTCTTGGTAGTCTCCCAGTCATTGCAATTATGGGAGATTCGCCCTATCGTAAATTTCGTGAAAAGATTATGTGATTGCTTAGGTGTCTTGGATGCCCTTTTGATGGACTCTTTCACTCCCTCAACGTTGGAGGTAATGAAGTATCCCGCTGCATATAATTGCTTTCAGAATATAACTTTACAGTCGTGTAGTACACAAATAACGAAGAAGAAACAAATGACAAAGAAATCACAAAAGGAACAGATCGTCATCCAAAATACAGACCTTTTGGATTTCATGCAATGAAACTAAATATAGAGAAAAATAAGATTATAAAGGAATATGTGGTATTATGCACGGCAAAAGCATCCGTGCTAGAAAGATTATCTTCATTGGTTTCAGCATATTACATTATGATCGGTTTAACGGCAAGATTTTCCATGGTTCAAGGAAAAATAGTTTGTGAAGGTTGGGCATATTTACCATTATTATTGTCTTAGATGGAGAAGAGGATTTACGGGATTCTAATAGTCAAAGATCCTAGCGATGTTTTTGACAAGATACAAATTATTGTGGATAACGATCCTAAAGATAAACTTAAATTTCATAAATGTGTAACCATTACGATAATTAATAGTTTATCCTTGGATGATAGTACTTATCGTCTACTTTACACCCCTGGTTGGATATTTTTGTCGCAGCAAATATGTAACAGTAATCACCTCCATCTGATCATTTAACAGTGCTTTGGCTTATTTTTGGCATATAAAAGGAGAAAGTGATTTAATCATGTCTGGGAAAGGGTGGTTACATGTTTGGTTTTTCACGTGTGGTTTTATAGTATCATAGTCTCTTGTTATTTCTAGGTATCTTTACCGGTGTTAGTCGCAAATATTACTGCGTCTTTGAAGATCTACATCTGCACCGAATATCACAAAAATAATACATGTTAAACATGTAATACATGTATCGTTTGATCGACTTTATAATACATGTATCGAATAGTTTACTTTTTAATACAAATATTATATAGTCTTCTTTTTATTAATTATATTATATTATCTAGTTTTCATTATATGTATCATTTATACTTATCAAAAAGCGTAGTATAGTACTAGTTAGCAATTTTATATAAATAGA